TAGGATGCTGCAATGGTCGTAAGTGTGAAAAACGGGCATAAGTCACGATTTTCAGTGCCATTGTAGCTTCAAATGTTGATTGGAAAAAAAGCAATTGATGAACACTACTCACACAAATGACTCTTGCAACGTTCCCACAATCATGTGGATTAACATTGGGGCACTTGGGAACCAGCATTTATTGACAAGGTTTGCTTGAGGCCACATAGTGGCCATTTTTAACAGATTTACAAAGCTGGAAGGGACCTTGTAGGTCATCTAGTCCAACCCCCCACCCAAGCGGGAGACCCTCCACCATTTCTGACAGGTGGTAGTCCAATATCTTCTTGAAAGCCTCCAGCAATGAAGCTCCCACAACTTCTGAAGGCAACTTCTGTTCCAAGGGTTGATTGCTCTCACATTTGTCCCCGATGGGTTCTGAATAGTCAAGGCCAATGGGAGAGGCCAGATTTGTTTAATGGCCACACGATCCACTTAACAACCTCATGGATTAGTTTAATAATCATGGCCAAAAAAAATTGGGCATTTCACCACCTCACTTAACAATGGAAATTCTGCTCCCAATTGTGCTCGTAAGTCAAGGGATACCTACAATCTTCACAGGGATGCAACGTTCTGGCTTCCCCTCCTTCTCCTCCTATTCTCATTTGTTTTTTTAAAAAAAAGCTTATTCTCCTAACCAGGATGCTCTGAACTTTGACAGTCAACCATGAGGTGAACAGAAGGATGATGCACCATCCTGACCTTTGGCGTTGACGCCTGTTCAGATCGGACGTTCCTTCTGCCATTCGTGTCCATTTAGCAAAACTGTAAACAAGGATGGCGGGAAGGAAGGAAAGCGGATGGCATTTGTCTAGCAAATTGCAGAATGTTGAAAAGGTCAGAAAATTTGCAGAAGGAGGCTGTCCTATAATTTACAGTGGCTAAGAGCCGTTCCCATCCTCATCACTCATTTGCGGGACCAGAACAGAACATTAAAGTCCATGTGTGAATCAGAGGTGGTATTGAGCAGGTCCTGACCAGTTCTGGAGAACCGGTAGTGGAAATTTTGAGTAGTTCAGAGAACCGGCAAATAATTTTTCAAATTTCAAAGTATTCCAAGGCACTCAGGAAGGGGAAAATGAAAAAGAAATCTGTTGCGCACTTGGAAACTTTTTCATCCTAGTTTTTTTTTTCCTTCCATACGATTAACCGTCAAGAGTTGCTGATAGTTCCCAGCGGCTTAGACATATTGTCTTGCTTATATACACAGACAGGGGCTAAGATTTTCCTAGAATCACAAATCCAGACACTGTTCAAAACTGCAACAGCTAAAACAAACAAGGGGAGCAAAACATATTTTTCAGCACAACATCTCATAGGTTGGGTCTGCACTTCAGTCAAGATTCAATCTGCCAATCCAGACAGCACACTCGGTTTATGTAAAGCTGAAACCTATGTATGATTTTTTATCTTCTCGGGGTTAACATTATTTTCAATCTTATCAAAACCCTGGAAAACAGATATAATTTATCAAAGCGTCCGCATGCCATCTCCTTTGCAAATTCTACCCCTTCTAAACACTCAAAAGTAAAAACAAGTACAAAAATAAGAACAGATTCTTGTCTTTGTCTAATAGGATTGTTTTCATCTTTGTCATCTTGTAACTGAAAAAGAGATTGTGCTTTTTAGCATCCGAGCTTGAAGCCTGAAATTAGGTTATGGATGTGCATGGATTGATAGAAAAGCTTAGTTGTACATTTATTCTACATATATATCAGGAGGCAGATCTATGGAAACGGACTTTGTTCACAGCGAAATGGGGCTTATTCACCTCAGAAGAGAGGTGGAAGGGACCTTAAAATACATAGCATATTTTCTTGAAATATCATTAAACACAAGTTGCAAGCATAGGTTAAGGACAGTGCGAGCTACAAATGGATAGATTAACACTTAAAATTAAAGAGAAGGAAGAAACTGAATATTTTTTTAACATGGGATTTATTTTACCAACGACTAACTGATAGAAACAGAAGTTAGAAATTTAAAAGCATAAGAGAATGATTTATTATATAGGGAAGGACTTATAAAATGGATAAGCAAAGATTATTATGATTATGTGATCATTATTAATATTATGGATCATTGTTATTATTATCATTATTATTTCTCAAAATTAACTATACCCAGATAACACACTGTTTATGTAGTCATTGTTTTTTAAGATGATGATAATAATAATAGTAATAATCATCATCATCAGTGTGAGCTGTCTTGTATTTAAATATCTTCAAATCCCATAAGTAAATCCTAAGAGTTGTAACTCTTAGTCACTTCCAAACAAGAAATCTCTACTTGTTCTCACTGTTAAGAAGTAACGACAAAAGACTCTCTTACACTAATTGGTTTAATCTACTCTTAAAACTATTTAATCGAAGATCTATCAGGGAGCAGAGACCAAATTGTTTCATCCAGTTTCAGGTATCTGTGCTGAACTGAACTGAAAAATTGTTCACTTGGAATTCACTCTTTTAAAAATAAAATAAAAACAAAATTCATTATGTGTCAATTTTTGCAAATGTGTCTCGAAACTGTCTGAATGCAAAGGCTAGATTTGTGCAAACAATAGTAATCCTGCAGGCTTAACTCGTTTCTCATTTACAAAAATGGCTTGTAAACAAAACGGAAAATAAACACACACACACAAAAGATGTTATCTTTGGCTGTCGTGTGCACACTGATGAAAAATATGGCAGGTCTGCAAAATTCAGAAACTCGAAAAAAAAAAACCTGAGGAGGCGAGCAACCTCACACTTTGCGGAAACACATTCTTTAAGTGGTACTTAAAGAAAGAGGAATTCCACCCAACTAGTGTCACCTAGAATGACTCATATTCTATTAGTAAGTCCTCGACTTACTGTCAACTCATAAAATATTTCTATGGTCTGTTTAGAGTTGCCAACAGAAAGGGAGCGGGGAGCAGTGCGGCCGCTTGCAAACCAAAAGTGCATTCCATAAATGTTTTCAAAGATAGTAACAAGTTGACTGAAGTTTCTGCCGCACAAAATTCTAACTGGAGAGTATGATTGATGACTCTTGGCTATGGATGTGTCCCATTGGAGAATATGAATTATGATATATCCAGGCAATGCCGCATCTTTTAACTCCCAATAAATCTTTTTGGAGTTTGGCTAGAGAATCATGATTTAAATGGGGGTTGAGTGTCGGAATCCTGACACTTACAACAGTTCGCTTAGTGACTGCTTAAAGTTACAATGGCACTGAACAAAGCGACTTATGACCGTTTATATACTTGCAATGGTTGCACAGCATCCCCTAGGTCATGGGATCAAAATTCTGATGTGTGGCATCTGACTTGTATTTATAACTTAACAACTGCAGTGATTAACTGAACAATAATGGCAAGAAAGGCTGTAAAATGAGGCAAAGTTCAACTACCTAGGTTAGAAAGAGGAATTTTGGGTTCAGTTGTGTTCGTAAGTCAAGGACTACTTGTACAGAAATGGGCAGAAAGACTTCTGTTTCCTACACATCGTGCATAATGTTATAAATACAGTCCCAATCTCCCCTGTTACATTGCATTTATCAACATTTCTCTCATGTAACCTAAAAAGCGGTTGTTTCATTGCAACGTTTCAAGAGCTAATGCATCGATCTTTGGATCCATCCATCCATCATGTCCTTGGATGAACCTCAGACAATTAGCCCCGTTCTCCAATCCTATGCAAATCCCCCCACCCTTTGAAACCAGGGTTGGGAGAACCCCTCTCCCCCATTGCAAATGAGCAAGTAACATATTGATTCGTGTATAGTAAAACCGTCTTTCTCCAAAAAGACGATTTTGAAAAGAAGCCCTGTCAACGTTTTTCAGCGCATGCGATCAAATTAAGCCCCACTCACAAAATTAGCCCTAATTAAGCCCCAGGTGTGCAGGGGGTTCAGCAAGGCACACAAGTAAAAAAAAAATAAGCTAGGGTGGGGATGGGGGTGGGTTGAGCTGCCCTACTTACCAGGCCTCGTACACCCCGACTCCTGCCTCACCTTCTTCTGCAGCCTCTTGCGGCCACTCATACACATTGCCCCAGCCGGATCGATCCAGAGCTCTATTATTGCCTGCAGAGGGCTTTCAAGAAGGCATCTGAAGGTGAAATGGAGGCCAGGAAAATGCGTGCAAGTGGTGGCAAGTGGCCGCCGAAGACATGGGCCGTCAGCGGGCTCCTGCTAGGCAGGGCTGTTGGTGTTCTGACCAAGGCTTCCTGAGACCATAATTAAGCACACGCTTAGTTAAAACAACTCTCGTTTTATTTCAGTGCTGGGAATTATGTTCATTCCCAGCCTGTGATGAGTCACAAACAGTCCCTTGAGATAAGCACCCACCTTTCTCTCCTTTGAATTGCTGCCAACAACTAAAGTGCCAAGTGAACTGGAAAAAAACAACCAAAGTATAAAGTCCACACAGAGCTTCAAGGTTTAATCTGAACAGAGCGAACGACTTTGCTTCCTGCAAAGGTTTCTCTACCTTTGCACTTCCTTTATATCTTAGGGGAGGGCAATTAACTCCAAGCCTTACTCCTGAGTCACCCCTTTTGTCTTAGCTGCTCTTTTGCCTTCTGGCAGCTCTGTGCAAGTGCACACTGGGAACAGGCTCCCCTTGTTCCTCTGCCATGCTGCTGCCAGACTCTGGAGGCTCCGGAGTCAGCACCCCACTCCCAGATGGTCCTGGCCCCATCTCTGCATCAGATGCAGGACTCTCACCTGAGTCCTCTCCAGACTCCCTAACTGGTCCCCGTTCTTCCCCACTGTCCGCTTCCGCTTCCATCTGCACAGGTAGCTGGCAAACCACAACTGCCGCAAGATGAGTCAATAATTAGAACCCTCCAAAAAGAAGCCCTAGGCATTTTTTCAAGGCTCAAAAGAAAATAAGACCTGGTCTTCTTTTTGGAGAAACATGGGTATCAGCCACAGTTCGGTCTGGTTTCATTTCTCAGAAAAGAACTTACCCAACTGGACTTCGAGAAGACTTGTCTGATTCTCTACTGGATACAACGGCTGAGGTGGTCTGTTGGTGACTAAAGCTAGAAGGGAAAAAAAAGAGAGAGAGAAAGGAATAGGGAAAATTAAAAGAATAATCTGGTTCTGGAGACAATGAATGTTCTGCAAAGGATTTACAAACCTGGAGAGCCACACCCATTTAAAAAAAGAACCATTGGTAACATTCTGGAGTTATACTCTGCTAGCTTTGGAGTTACACTGAACTCCCTTTTTATGACCTGCAGAACCTAAATTTGGGGTAGAGTCAGGATGAGTGAATGGAGCTGAGCATTTACTGGCTGAATGCAATGCAGGGTTCACAGCGAGTATTTTTTCTTTGCAACCTGAGAGAGAAATATCTGTTGCTACCTAGGATTGAACCCTCAACCTTCTGAGTGGGAAGCGAGTGTCTTCACCACTAGGCCACCCCAATACACCTTAGGAATAATACTGATGATGGCACCAAAAGCAACAATCACAATCACAATTATATTTTACATAAGTGGATCCTTGATACAGCTAACGATGATGAAGTATATCAGTTCAATTGAAAAAATAAAAAATACGAGAGTCCCAAAGGTGCTTTCTCCAAAAGGCAACAAGACTTCCTGGTTTTTTTTTTCCTTGAAAACATTTTGCTTCACATCCAAGAAGCTTCTTTAGTTCAGAACTGAAAAAGCTTCCTGGATGCGAAGTGAAACAGTTTCAAGGGGAAAAAAATCAAGACATTCCAGTTCTTTTTTGGGGAAAAAAAGTGCCTTTGGGAGAAGCATGACATGGATGATGAAAAATCAAAATAGATGAGAGGGAGAAAGAAATAGAAAAAGGAAGAGAGAGAGAGAGAGAGAAAGGGGGGGAGAAAGAAAGAGGGGAAGAGAGAAAGAGTAAGATAGAGAAAGAGAAAGAAAGAAAGAGAAAGAGAGAGAAAAAGACAAACACAGAGAAAGAAAAAGAGGAAAAAGAAAAAGAGAGAAAAAGAAAAAGAAAAAGAAAAAGAGAGAAAGAGAAAGAAAAAGAAAGAAAAAGAAAGAGAAAGAGAGAGAGAAAAGGAGAAAGAAAAGCGAAAGCCAGAGAAAGAAAAATAAAAAGAGAGAAAGAGAAAAAAGGAGAGAGAGAAAGAGAAAGAAAGAGAAAGAGAAAGCAAAATAAAAAGAGAGAAAGAGAAAGAAAGAGAGAGAAATGTTCTCCACCGCACCTCGTGCGTACCTGCTAAGCCTCTCGTTGCTTATACGCACCTTTTTATTTAAGCTATACGGGGAATTCTATTTAGAAGACCGTGGCAGCCTCACACACCTCTTCCAAGCCCAAGATGAAACTACTGACCCCGATGAAACATCGGGGCCACCCATGCAATTAAATTACTTTTGGATTAGCTTGGAATAGAAAGTTGCTGGCAGGTGAAAACAAGAATAATCAATGCTTTTCACTAATGCACTTGGAATGCCATTAAGAGGGAACAGGAAGGCCTGCCAATCATCGCCTTGTCTCTACTGAGAATTTTCCAAAGCGGACGGGTGGATTCGTACACAAGTCTTAAAGCCCAATTCACTTAAATAGACACCGATGATGGCAAGTGGAGAGATCAATTGGAAAGGACGCTGCTGGCATGATTTGAAATCAGCCTTGATCAGACAGAGAGCACAGGGCGGGCGGAGAGCTAACGAAGAGCGAAAAAAAATGCTTCTCGTTGGCGGAGAATGATTATTTTCAACAGTTTCCAGAGGGTAAGAAAGACACAACGGATGTCCCCAATCCAGGCCCCGTGGAACCATCCCGCTCCGACCTAGCTTCCCAAACATGACAAACCCTCTGTATTTAAATCAATGATTCCTTTATTAGCAGCGTCAGCAGCCCTGGCAAAATTTTTCTCTCTCTCTCTCACCCCAGGCTAACAAGTCTGTCCGGCAGGGAGTTGAATAGGTCTCTGCCACACCCATTCATCTCTGCCCCCTGCCTTTTATCCCCAGAGCTAGGGTGGGGCTTTGGTAGCAGCGGTGGCTTTTTCGTCCCAGGGACCGGCCCATAGATTTCCACTGCTCTCCTCTCCTCTGCTTTCTGAACATCCATGTGTTAGGCACTGGGCCCAGCAGTTCCTCCTCTTCCTCATCAGCCACCTCCAGACCTGGGGGCTGTTGACTCTCCATTTGAGGGCTGATGGACAGCTCAGGCTCTCTCTCTCTCTCTCCCTCCCTCTCTCTCTCCCTCTCTCTCTCTCTGCCAGCTCCATTCCCTCTTCCCCCTCAGAGCTCCCAGGGTGCCCTGAGGCTGACCCTGACTCCCCCGCCTCCTCCTCTGATTCAGTTGCTGGAGGCGCCAGAGGCCAACAGGCCACAAACCCTCCTGGAGACCCAGATCCAATGGAAAAGCAAGGAAGTCCTCTGTATTTCCATCATTATCAACATTTTGATGAGGATCGTTCAGCCTCTGGTCCAGGCTAAAATGAAGTTGGGCACTTTGGATGGATAAGTTGTAGTTTGGCCTGCTTTTTGGAAGCCAACCGTTATTTTTGTTTGTGCACGAGGCCCTCGTGGGAATGGTCTGAAAAATGGAGAAACCAGCGGTGGGATTCGAAACGTTTTACCGCTGGTTCGGTGGGCGTGGCTCGGTGGGCATGCTTTGTGCACATGCACACACTTTGCGTAGGTGCAGAGGCATTCCAACTCACCTCCTGTACAATGAAAACCAGGTATCCTTCTCTAACTAGGTGCCGGAAAACTAGGTGTATCCCTAACTAGATACCAGAAAACCTCTACGCATCAGAATTGTGCTACAATTCCCTTCTCCTTTGAAAGAACATTTGCCACACAAATTCTTTTTTTTCCCTCCCCTTCTGAGGATAAGCAGCACACAAATATTTTCATTTTGCTTTCGCTGATTTCCTTAATAAGAAAACGAGAAGGAAACGATGCACGCCTTTCCCCACAACAGCAAAATTCATATGCAGTTATCAGGAATATCTGAGCGCATTTGAGAAATTCAGAACCAGCAAATTCATAATAGATGTTTGCCTTCCTGCTTGCAATAGGGAACCTTCCTCAGTTGACAGGAAAGAGAGAGAGAGAGAGAGATAAAAGAGCCTGACAGGTAAAAACATAATATGAAACCAAGGAAGAGCACAGCCCTGAGAGTACATATTATCGAACATTGTAAATTCAGGATTTGAGCAAAAATATATATATCTCCTTGCGATGTGTATTTTATCCTGATCTCATCCAGGACTTTCAATTACAATTTTGATGATTGAGACCAAAATGCTTTCAGGATTCAGGTGGTTTTACCTCCTCTGCCTTGAGATGGGAAGCTGATAACCCAAAGGCTGAAATAATAGCTTCAAGAAACAGTTAAAAGCGGAGGAATTTCCAATAAACGACGGCCGGTAATAGAAAGAAGTGGATTTTTCATTTCCCCCAGAACTACGGAGAGTTTTTGATGTCCTCTGCTCTGGATGAGGCCAGGCAGGGCCTGTAATAGTTTTAACTTCTAATGGTTGGAAGGTACAATCGATAGAAGAAGGAGTGTATTCCTCCAATTCTTTCTCTCGAAGAAGGTTGATGCGCACTTTCTATTAGAGCGGTTCAGTTTTATAGCATATCTAAGAATCCAAACTTAGAGAGCCAGTTTGGTCTTGGGGTTAAGGCAGCAGGCTAGAAACCAGGGGATTGTGAATTCTAGTCCCATCTTAAGCATGAAAGCCAACTGGGTGACTTTGGGCCAATCACCAGGAGATGGTGAATTCTAGTCCCACCTTAGGCATGAAAGCCGGCTGGGTGACTTTGGGCCAATCACCAGGGGACTTGGAGTTCTAATCCCGCCTTAGGCAAGAAAGCTGGCTGGGTGACTTTGGGCCAATCACCAGGGGACTGGGAGTTCTAGTCCTGCCTTAGGCATGAAAGCCAGCTGGGTGACTTTGGGCCAATCACCAGGAGATGGTAAATTCTAGTCCCACCTTAGGCATGAAAGCCGGCTGGGTGACTTTGGGCCAATCACCAGGGGACTGGGAGTTCTAGTCCTGCCTTAGGCATGAAAGCCAGCTGGTTTGGAAGCTCATACTGCAGGCTAACTCTGTTGACTGCCACCAGTTCAATTGTCACTTGCTCCAGGTTGACTCAGCCTTCCATCCTTCCAAGGTCAGTAAAATGAGGACCTAGATTGTTGGGGGCAATATACCGACTCTGTAAACCACTTAGAGCAGGGGTCTCCAACCGTGGCAACTTTAAAACTTGTGGACTTCAACTCCCAGAATTCCTCAGCCACCTGGCTGAGGAATTCTGGGAGTTGAAGTGCACAAGTCTTAAAGTTACCAAGGTTGGAGACCTCTGACTTAGAGAGAGGGCTGTAAAGCACTGTGAAGCAGCATATAAGTCTAGGTGCTTATTGCTTCTGCTATCTCCTTCCCAATTTTCCCAATTCTGATTAAAGAATGGCAGAATGTACAGGACTTGGAACCAGGCAGGAAAGAGTTATCTTCCAAAATTTTAATTCTAATCACCATTCCACTTATAGCCAATGGGCAGGGGAGGGAGAAACAGCAATGCAATAGTGAGAGAAAATGAAGAAAAATACTTTTGTTGATGAAAATACTGCACAAAAAGTACATTAAGGGGAAATTGTTTGCAGAAACTGGGTCTGCTAGACACATTTGCTAAATATATATATATATATATATATTTGGGGGAGTATAACAATACTCAACAGTTTTAGGAAAAACTCAAACGTGTGCAGAAATGAGATAAAAAAAAATGAACTTACAAATAGAAAAAGGGGAAAGCCAAGAGCATCCAAATAGGAAAGATTTAGAAAACAGAAGGAATTGAAACAGGCAAATGTGCCAAAACAGGAAATGAAGAGGAACCAAAAATTAAGAGTTGAAAATCACCTCTAGCTCCTTCTACCTGTTTCATTTTTGCAGGTCAGGGACAGAAAATTAAATTGCATTTCTATTACTGCTTCCATAATAATAATCGGTGAGAATATAACCTTTAATACATAAGAGATAAATCTATTGTTATTACCCATCAATGGGAACTTTGGTACTGAAAATGTC